GAGAGAGAGAGAGAGAGAGAGAGAGAGAGAGAGAGAGAGAGAGAGAGAGAGAGAGAGAGAGAGAGAGAGAGAGAGAGAGAGAGAGAGAGAGAGAGAGAGAGAGAGAGAGAGAGAGAGAGAGAGAGAGAGAGAGAGAGAGAGAGAGAGAGAGAGAGAGAGAGAGAGAGAGAGAGAGAGAGAGAGAGAGAGAGAGAGAGAGAGAGAGAGAGAGAGAGAGAGAGAGAGAGAGAGAGAGACAGAGAGAGAGAGAGAGAGACTGAGAGAGAGAGAGAGAGACAGAGAGAGAGAGAGAGAGAGAGAGAGAGAGAGAGAGAGAGAGAGAGAGAGAGAGAGAGAGAGAGAGAGAGAGAGAGAGAGACAGAGAGAGAGAGAGAGAGAGAGAGAGAGAGAGAGAGAGAGAGAGAGAGAGAGAGAGAGAGAGAGAGACAGAGAGAGAGACAGAGAGAGAGAGAGAGAGAGACAGAGAGAGAGAGAGAGAGAGAGAGAGAGACAGAGAGAGACAGAGAGAGAGAGAGAGAGACTGAGAGAGAGAGAGAGAGACAGAGAGAGACAGAGAGAGACAGAGAGAGAGAGAGACAGAGAGAGAGAGAGAGAGAGAGAGAGAGAGAGAGAGAGAGACAGAGAGAGAGAGAGAGAGACAGAGAGAGAGAGAGAGAGAGAGAGAGAGAGAGAGAGAGAGAGAGAGAGAGAGAGAGACAGAGAGAGAGAGAGAGAGAGAGAGAGAGAGAGAGAGAGAGAGACAGAGAGAGAGAGAGAGAGAGAGAGAGAGAGAGAGAGAGAGAGAGAGAGAGAGAGAGAGAGAGAGAGAGAGAGAGAGAGAGAGAGAGAGAGAGAGAGAGAGAGAGAGAGAGAGAGAGAGAGAGAGAGAGAGAGAGAGAGAGAGAGAGAGAGAGAGAGAGAGAGAGAGAGAGAGAGAGAGAGAGAGAGAGAGAGAGAGAGAGAGACAGAGAGAGACAGAGAGAGACAGAGAGAGAGAGAGAGAGAGAGACAGAGAGAGACAGAGAGAGACAGAGAGAGACAGAGAGAGACAGAGAGAGACAGAGAGAGACAGAGAGAAACAGAGAGAGAGAGAGACACAGAGACCACAGAGTTACCCCCTCACTGAGTGAATGGTCCAACAAATGGCTGTTGAAGTTCAACCCAAGTAAATGTAAGGTAATGAAACTAGGCGGTGGAAACAGGAGGCCACACACAGGATACAGAATAGGAGATGAAGTACTTAATGAAACAGAGAGAAAGATCTAGGAGTTGATATCACGCCAAACCTGTCTCCTGAAGCCCACATAAAAAGAATAACGTCTGCGGCATATGCGAGGCTGGCTAACATCAGAACGGCGTTCAGGAACCTGTGTAAGGAATCATTCAGAATCTTGTACACCACATATGTAAGACCAATCCTGGAGTATGCGGCCCCAGCATGGAGCCCGTACCTTGTCAAGCACAAGACGAAGCTGGAAAAAGTCCAAAGGTATGCCACTAGACTAGTCCCAGAACTAAGAGGCATGAGTTATGAGGAAAGGCTGCGGGAAATGCACCTTACGACCCTGGAGGACAGAAGAGTAAGGGGAGACATGATCACTACCTACAAAATCCTCGGGGGAATCGACCGGGTAAACAAGGATGAACTATTCAACACTGGTGGGACACGAACAAGGGGACACAGGTGGAAGCTGAGTACCCACATGAGCCACAGAGACGTTAGAAGGAACTTTTTCAGTGTGGGAGTAGTTAACAGGTGGAATGCATTAGACAGTAATGTGGTGGAGGCTGACTCCATACACAGTTTCAAGTGTAGATATGATAGAGCCCAATAGGCTCAGGAACCTGTACACCAGTTGATTGACAGTTGAGAGGCGGGACCAAAGAGCCAGAACTCAACCCCCGCAAGCACAACTAGGTGAGTACACATATGGTACTATATCATGGCGCCAAAGTTGGCATCTTTAGCACAGTTTTCACCAACTGTTGTGGCGAACACCTTGCATGCCATTAGTGCTCTGTGAAGCATGAATCAAAGATTGAACAACAGAGGCGCTGTGAACGTGATCCATCAGCCCAGGAATGGAGGAGAAACAAGGAGGGGATATGATCCCAACATACAAGATACTCCTGGGAATACCATTGGTGAGGCACAGCTGAGGGGAAGAAAGCCTCTCACCTGAACGAATGTAAAGACGAATTAATACAAATCTTAAAGATCATGGATGACCTTACAATGTGAGAGGTTATATGGAACAATTGAGACCAATTATACCGTTAATGGTCATTATATCCTGGCCTTGTTTGGGCCTCCGTAGGCCTAAGATAACCCAGCTGCTTAGCGTGGATCTCAGGAACTGTTGGTGGATGTAATTGTGTGCCAGTGTGTCTACCTCAGGCGGCGAGGGAGTCCTTCAGACCTTACGTAAGTAAGGTAAGAGTTCCGGACTGGAGGTTACCTAAAGGTTATGGGGCAGGGGTAAGGTAGGGGGTAGTGGGGGGTGTGGTGGGTAGGGGGTAGTGGGGGGGTGTTGGGTAGGGGGTAGTGGGGGGTGTGGTGGGTAGGGGGTAGTGGGGGGTGTGGTGGGTAGGGGGTAGTGGGGGGGTGGGGGGGGGGTTGGGTAGGGGGTAGTGGGGGGTGTGGTGGGTAGGGGGTAAGGTAGGGGGTTGTGGGGGGTGTGGTGGGTAGGGGGTAGTGTGGGGGGGTGGTGGGTGGGGGGGGGGGGGGTGTTGGGTAGGGGGTAGTGGGGGGTGTGGTGGGTAGGGGGTAGTGGAGGGGGTGTGTGGGGGGGGGGGGTGTTGGGTAGGGGGTAGTGGAGGGGGGTGTGGGGGGGGTGTTGGGGGGCAGGTGTAAGGTAGGGGGTAGTGGAGGGGGGGTGTGGGTGGGGTAGGGGGGGGAGGGGCCAAACATGTTGCTCAAGGTGTTCTGGTATCCAGATTCTTCACTGTTCCGTAGTGTACTCACCTAGTTGTGCTTGCGGGGGTTGAGCTCTGGCTCTTTGGTCTCGCCTCTCAACTGTCAATCAACTGGTGTACAGGTTCCTGAGCCTATTGGGCTCTATCATATCTACACTTGAAACTGTGTATGGAGTCAGCCTCCACCACATCACCCCCTAATGCATTCCACCTGTTAACTACTCCCACACTGAAAAAGTTCTTTCTAACGTCCCTGTGGCTCATGTGGGTACTCGGTCTCCACCTGTGTCCCCTTGTTCGTGTCCCACACGTGCTGAATAGTTTATCCTTGTTTACCCAGTCGATTCCCCTGAGGATTTTGTAGGTAGTGATCATGTCTCCCCTTACTCTTCTGTCCTCCAGGGTCGTAAGGTGCATTTCCCGCAGCCTTTCCTCGTAACTCATGCCTCTTAGTTCTGGGACTAGTCTAGTGGCATACCTTTGGACTTTTTCCAGCTTCGTCTTGTGCTTGACAAGGTACGGGCTCCATGCTGGGGCCGCATACTCCAGGATTGGTCTTACATATGTGGTGTACAAGATTCTGAATGATTCCTTACACTGGTTCCTGAACGCTGTTCTGATGTTAGCCAGCCTCGCATATGCCGCAGACGTTATTCTCTTTATGTGGGCTTCAGGAGACAGGTTTGGTGTGATATCAACTCCTAGATCTTTCTCTCTGTCTGTTTCATTAAGTACTTCATCTCCTATTCTGTATCCTGTGTCTGACCTCCTGTTTCCACTGCCTAGTTTCATTACTTTGCATTTACTCGGGTTGAACTTTAACAGCCATTTGTTGGACCATTCATTCAGTGAGTGTGTGTGTGTGTGTGTGTTCACTTGCCCTGGACCCCTGTGTGTTGTGCTGGACCCCTGTGTGTTGTGGTGTTGTGCTGGACCCCTGTGTGTTGTGCTGGACCCCTGTGTGTTGTGGTGGACCCCTGTGTGTTGTGGTGTTGTGCTGGACCCCTGTGTGTTGTGCTGGACCCCTGTGTGTTGTGCTGGACCCCTGTGTGTTGTGCTGGACCCCTGTGTGTTGTGCTGGACCCCTGTGTGTTGTGCTGGACCCCTGTGTGTTGTGTTGGACCCCTGTGTGTTGTGCTGGACCCCTGTGTGTTGTGCTGGACCCCTGTGTGTTGTGGTGGACCCCTGTGTGTTGTGGTGGACCCCTGTGTGTTGTGGTGTTGTGCTGGACCCCTGTGTGTTGTGCTGGACCCCTGTGTGTTGTGGTGTTGTGCTGGACCCCTGTGTGTTGTGCTGGACCCCTGTGTGTTGTGCTGGACCCCTGTGTGTTGTGCTGGACCCCTGTGTGTTGTGGTGGACCCCTGTGTGTTGTGGTGGACCCCTGTGTGTTGTGCTGGACCCCTGTGTGTTGTGCTGGACCCCTGTGTGTTGTGCTGGACCCCTGTGTGTTGTGCTGGACCCCTGTGTGTTGTGCTGGACCCCTGTGTGTTGTGCTGGACCCCTGTGTGTTGTGGTGTTGTGCTGGACCCCTGTGTGTTGTGGTGGACCCCTGTGTGTTGTGCTGGACCCCAGTGTGTTGTGCTGGACCCCTGTGTGTTGTGCTGGACCCCTGTGTGTTGTGCTGGACCCCTGTGTGTTGTGGTGGACCCCTGTGTGTTGTGCTGGACCCCTGTGTGTTGTGCTGGACCCCTGTGTGTTGTGCTGGACCCCTGTGTGTTGTGCTGGACCCCAGTGTGTTGTGCTGGACCCCTGTGTGTTGTGCTGGACCCCTGTGTGTTGTGCTGGACCCCTGCACGCAAGATATCATAATTCCAGTGTTATCAGGTACCCATGATAACAGTTGACAGGTTAATCCTTCTCTGTGTTATCTTGGCCAGGTCATCTTTGTAGTCCTCGGCTGGCTGGCTCCTGCCTTGAGGCCAGATTCACGAAGCAGTTACGCAAGTATTTCCGAACTTAGTAAGTACTTGCGTAACTGCTTCGTGAATCTTTCCCCATACCCTAGACTCGTCAATTAAAGCCTCCTCCGCGGGGCCAGTATATACCCTTGGCCAGAGAGGTCTTGGCCACCGTAGGCCCTGGCCAGGTTCCATAACGATGTATTAATGTTTGCTCCGGTATTTCAGAGCGGTTCGAAGCCATGAGGAGCTGCCCTGGGCACTATTTCGTCACTGTCATAGAGGATACCCAACTTGGGCACATCGTGGGCTCCGCCACCCTCGCCTGTGAACTCAAGTTCATCAGAGGCTGTGCCAAGGTACGTACCCTGGGGGTCACACAGCATGCCCAGGGGCATCTGGGGGTCACACAGCATGCCCAGGGGCATCTGGGGGTCACACAACATGCCCAGGGGCATCTGGGGGGTCACTCAACGTGCCCAGGGGCATCTGGGGGGTCACTCAACGTGCCCAGGGGCATCTGGGGGTCACACAGCATGCCCAGGGGCATCTGGGGGGTCACACAGCATGCCCAGGGGCATCTGGGGGTCACACAGCATGCCCAGGGCATCTAGGGGGTCACACATGCCCAGGGCATCTGGGGGGTCACTCAGCATGCCCAGGGGCATCTGGGGGTCACACAGCATGCCCAGGGGCATCTGGGGGGTCACACAGCATGCCTAAGGCATCTGGTGGTCACTTGGCATGCCCAGGGGGTATTTGGGGGTCACACAGCATGCCCAGGGGCATCTGGGGGGTCACACAGCATGCCCAGGGGCATCTGGGGGTCACACAGCATGCCCAGGGGCATCTGGGGGGTCACACAGCATGCCCAGGGGCATCTGGGGGGTCACTCAGCATGCCCAGGGGCATCTGGGGGTCACACAGCATGCCCAGGGGCATCTGGGGGGTCACACAGCATGCCCAGGGGCATCTGGGGGGTCACACAGCATGCCCAGGGGCATCTGGGGGGTCACACAGCATGCCCAGGGGCATCTGGGGGTCACACAGCATGCCCAGGGGCATCTGGGGGGTCACACAGCATGCCCAGGGGCATCTGGGGGGTCACTCAGCATGCCCAGGGGCATCTGGGGGTCACACAGCATGCCCAGGGGCATCTGGGGGGTCACACAGCATGCCCAGGGGCATCTGGGGGGTCACACAGCATGCCCAGGGGCATCTGGGGGGTCACACAGCATGCCCAGGGGCATCTGGGGGGTCACACAGCATGCCCAGGGGCATCTGGGGGGTCACACAGCATGCCCAGGGGCATCTGGGGGGTCACACAGCATGCCCAGGGGCATCTGGGGGGTCACACAGCATGCCCAGGGGCATCTGGGGATCACACAGCATGCCCAGGGGCATCTAGGGGTCACTCAACATGCCCAGAGGCATCTAGGGGTCACTCAGCATGCCCAGCGGCATCTGGGGGGTCACTCAGCATGCCCAGGGGCATCTGGGGGTCACTCAACATGCCCAGGGGCATCTGGGGGGTCACTCAACATGCCCAGGGGCATCTGGTGGTCACTCAACATGCCCAGGGGCATCTGGTGGTCACTCAACATGCCCAAGGGCATCTGGTGGTCACTCAGCATGCCCAGGGCATCTGGTGGGGTCATTCAGCATGCCCAGGGGCATCTGGTGGGGTCACACAGCATGCCCAGGGGCATCTGGGGGGTCACACAGCATGCCCAGGGGCATCTGGGGGTCACACAGCATGCCCAGGGGCATCTAGGGGTCACTCAACATGCCCAGAGGCATCTAGGGGTCACTCAGCATGCCCAGCGGCATCTAGGGGTCACTCAGCATGCCCAGGGGCATCTAGGGGTCACTCAGCATGCCCAGGGGCATCTGGGGGTCACACAGCATGCCCAGGGGCATCTGGGGGTCACTCAGCATGCCCAGGGGCATCTGGGGGTCACACAGCATGCCCAGGGGCATCTGGGGGTCACTCAACATGCCCAGGGGCATCTGGGGGTCACTCAACATGCCCAGGGGCATCTGGGGGTCACTCAACATGCCCAAGAGCATCTGGGGGTCACTCAACATGCCCAGGGGCATCTGGGGGTCACACAGCATGCCCAGGGGCATCTGGGGGGTCACTCAACATGCCCAGGGGCATCTGGGGTCACTCAACATGCCCAGGGGCATCTGGGGGTCACTCAACATGCCCAGGGGCATCTGGGGGTCACACAGCATGCCCAAGGGCATCTGGGGGTCACTCAACATGCCCAGGGGCATCTGGGGGGTCACACAGCATGCCCAGGGGCATCTGGGGCACACATCCCCCCAGGAAGCAGCTCGTAGCAGATGTCTAACTCCCAGGTACCTATTTACTGCTAGGTGAACAGGTGCATCAGGGGGGTGAAAAGCTCTGCTTATTTGTTTCCTGCCATGGCCGGGGATTGAGCCTGTACTCTAGGATTACGAGCCCAAAACGCTGGCCACTGAGCCACAGAACCCCTCTCTCGTGCTGTGTGTGTGTGTGTCATCTAATTGTGCTTGCGGGGGTTGAGCTCTGGCTCTTTGGTCCCGCCTCTCAACTGTCAATCAACAGGTGTACAGGTTCCTGAGCCTATTGGGCTCTATCATATCTACACTTGAAACTGTGTATGGAGTCAGCCTCCACCAAATCACTGCCCAATTCATTCCACCTGTTAACTACTCCCACACTGAAAAAGTTCCTTCTAACGTCCCTGTGGCTCATTTGGGTACTCAGTTTCCACCTGTGTCCCCTTGTTCGTGTCCCACCCGTGCTGAAGAGTGTATCCTTGTTTACCCGGTCGATTCCCCTGAGGATTTTGTAGGTTGTGATCATGTCACCCCTTACTCTTCTGTCTTCCAGTGTCGTAAGGTGCATTTCCCGCAGCCTTTCCTCATAACTCATGCCTCTTAGTTCTGGGACTAGTCTAGTAGCATACCTTTGGACTTTTTCCAGCTTCGTCTTGTGCTTGACAAGGAACGGGCTCCATGCTGGGGCCGCATACTCCAGGATTGGTCTTACATATGTGGTGTACAAGATAATGAATGATTCCTTACACAGGTTCCTGAACGCCGTTCTGATGTTAGCCAGCCTCGCATATGCCGCAGACGTTATTCTTTTTATGTGGGCTTCAGGAGACAGGTTTGGTGTGATATCAACTCCAAGATCTTTCTCTCTGTTTCATTAAGTACTTCATCTCCTATTCTGTATCCTGTGTCTGGCCTCCTGTTTCCACTGCCTAGTTTCATTACTTTGCATTTACTCGGGTTGAACTTGAACAGTCATTTGTTGGACCATTCACTCAGTCTGTCTAGGTCATCTTGTAGCCTCCTACTATCATCCTCTGTTTCAATCCTCCTCATAATTTTTGCATCATCGGCAAACATTGAGAGAAACGAATCTATACCCTCTGGGAGATCATTTACATATACCAGAAACAGTATAGGGCCAAGGACTGACCCCTGCGGGACTCCACTTGTAACGTCTCGCCAATCTGAGACCTCACCCCTCACATTGACTCGTTGTCTCCTGTTGCTTAGGTACTCCTGTATCTAGTGGAGTACCTTCCCTTTCACTCCAGCCTGCATCTCCAGCTTTTTCACTAGCCTCTTGTGTGGTACTGTATCAAAGGCTTTCTGACAATCCAAAAATATGCAGTCTGCCCACCCTTCTCTTTCTTGCCTTATTTTTGTTGCCTGGTCGTAGAATTCAAGTAACCCTGTGAGGCAGGACCTGCCATCCCTGAACCCATGTTGGTGTTGTGTTACAAAGTTCTTTCGCTCCAGATGCTCCACTAGTTTTTTTCGCACAATCTTCTCCATCAGCTTGCATGGTATGCAGGTTAGGGACACTGGCCTGTAGTTCAGTGCCTTCTGTCTATCCCCTTTCTTGTATATCGGGACTACGTTAGCTGCTTTCCAAATTTCTGGCAGTTCCCCTGTTGCCAGTGATTTGTTATACACTATGGAGAGTGGTAGGCATAGTTCTTCTGCTCCTTTCTTTAGTATCCAAGGGGAGATTCCATCTGGGCCTATTGCCTTTGTCACATCCAACTCTAGTAAACACTTCCTTACTTCCCTGCTGGTAATCTCAAACTCTTCCAGTGGTTCCTGGTTAGCTATTCCCTCTCTTATCTCTGGGATTTCTCCTTGCTCTAAGGTGAAGACCTCCTGGAATTTCTTATTCAGTTCCTCACACACTTCCTTGTCATTTGTAGTGAATCCTTCTGCCCCTGTCCTTAATTTCATAACCTGTTCCTTTACTGTTGTTTTTCTCCTGATGTGGCTATGCAACAATTTAGGCTGAGTCTTTGCCTTGCTTGCGATGTCATTTTCGTATTGTCTTTCTGCCTCTCTTCTCATCCTGACATATTCATTCCTGACATTCTGGTATCTTTCTCTGCTCTCCAGTGTCCTGTTATTCCTATAGTTTCTCCACGTACTTTGCTGCTTAGCTAGCCTACATCTCTGGTTAAACCATGGGTTTCTCATCTTCATTTCACTGTTTTCCTTTTGGACTGGGACAAACTTGTTTGCTGCGTCCTTGCACTTTTGCGTGATGTAATCCATCATATCTTGGGCCGTCTTTCCCCTGTGTGTGTGTGTGTGTGTGTGTGTGTGTGTGTGTGTGTGTGTGTGTGTGTGTGTGTGTGTGTGTGTGTGTGTGAGAATGACTGAAGTTGGTGCCAGATTTTGTTAATGTGATACAAAGGTACACTGGAGTATATACAGGAACCTGTACACCAGTTGATTGACGGTTGAGAGGCGGGACCAAAGAGCTCAAGCCCCACAAGCACAACTAGACGAGTACAGGTGTGGTACACAGGTGTACTGGCCCACTGGAAGTGGTGTGTGTGGTGAGTGAGAGGCAGTGTGTGCTGATAATAGTCATGTGTGTTGTCTGAACACCTGGCTACCAACTCCCCCCCCCCCTCTCTCACTACCCCCTCCCTCACTACCCCCTCCCTCACCTCTCACCCCCTCCCTCACCTCTCACCCCCTCCCTCACTACCCCCTCCCTCTCCTTTCACCCCCTCCCTCACCTCTCACCCCCTCCCCCTCCCTCACCTCTCACCCCTTCCCTCACTCCCCCCTCCCTCACCTCTCACCTCTGGCCTGGTACACATCATCACCCTCCCAGCTCCACCGTCAGTAGTTGAATTCCTCTCGTGTGTTGCTCCCATTGTCACGCCTGATCATCCAGTCTATTGTGTGATGCATGGTGTACAGGTCTATCCATTGACCAGGCGACAAAGAACACATATAGTGACGTTGTCGCCAAAATAGTGTGTGTGAAATATATGTCTAAATCTCGAATGAACAAGACCATACAGCTGAA